TTTTTTAATATAAAAATAGAGTTTTTTTTTTTTTTTTTTTCTGATTGGGTGCTTAAAAGAAAAGAAAAAAAAATCTAGAATTCATGCTTGACTCATGGTTGGGTTACCTCGTTTAAGCTAACTGGTTGACAAAATTTTTAAATTTGCAATGCCCAGGTGGGAAGTTCATAAATTGAAGCTAATTAGAATGTGCTATTTTTTACAGTCGGATTGAAGTGTATAACCATTTGTATGTTTTGTGGCTATTAAAGATTATCGTGAGGTTTCAAGGATAAGAAGTCGTAGACACGAAAGATATCAGTTAACTAGTGTAGATGTTATCGTTAAATTTGTGTTTAAAATTGTACTGATATATTAAAATATGATTTGGGATAGAGTATTCCCTTATATTCTCATTAATATATATATTTTAATTTAATTAATTAATTAAAAAAAAAAAAAAAAGGAAGAAGAAGAAGAAGCTAACTAGGATCTGCTAATCATTTTAAAAAAGAAAAGGCTTCAAAGAAGACAATACTTGCTGTAAAAAACAGAAGAATAAAGCTGGTTGTCAATTTCATTAAATGCAAAAAATATAGTAACTGCTTAAAAATTTGGCTATTTTGGTAGTATTCACTTATATATCCCCTTTTTTTTCTTTAAACAAAAGGATAAGGGCGGCATGAGGAAAAATATAGAAAAATTTTTGATCTTCGGCAACAATAAAGACGCTGACAGGAAATGATTTTATATATATATATATATATTATCTTTTCATATTTAAAAATTATATTTAATTTAATTAATATAAAATTAAGTTGAATTAAATTATATAAATAAAAAATTCATCTAATATTTATTTTTTTATTTATAAAATTTAAATTCAAAATTTTACACAATGAAAAACCAAATTTTATTTATTTAACCCAAAAAATTATTGGTGTGAAATGATTTTCTTAATTCATGTGCAAGGATCGTTAAAGGAGAGAGAGAAACTTGAAGGGCAACTTCAACAAATAAGGTTGTAGGTATTGTTGATACAAAGAATGATAAAATTATTAAAATTTTATTTTTTTAATTTTGAATAACATCTAAAAATATTAATTTTTTAGTTGATTTTAATTTATTAATTA